TATCTAACGGTATGTGAATGGGAGACCTATCCCTTAACCAAAAAAACTAGATAGGTTTGCAAGCTGAAGGTATCGACCGCTGAGCTCAGTCAAAAGTTCAGTTTTGACCAAACGTCATTGAAAGAGACCGTCATTGAAAACGTCATTGAAAGATACCTCTCTAGAATCAGTTTTCAACGTAGAATTTGAAAATATTAATGAGAATAAGTAAAAACGTAAAGGGAGAAAATTGTGAACCATTTTCTGAAAAAGAACAGTTTTTAGCTTTTTCGACCTCGTCTCAGTATTTCGCATTTTTCTTCATCAAGATTTCATTTTTTCGAACTAAAAAGGTGATATTCGTGATCAGCTCGATCTGGCGATTCAGAATATGTATAATATTTCACTCTGTGTTTGACCTACGAGCATCTTATAAGCACCAATCATGAAAGAGTAAATGTACTATCGTCTTAGACATATTAAAATATCTAGACAAGAATCATCATTATTTATAATGATCAAACGAATTTAAAATGAATAATTGATAAATAATCTTTATTTGTTTTTTATTTATTCAATTAAACACTGAATGGTCTTAATAATGTGTCTTGAAATTAAAATAAAACTTTTTATCAATATTTGTTGCCGATGATCTACATGATCGATTATTATTATTATCAACAGAATTATTTGTAGTAATTAATAATAAATATATTTCGTTTAATGTGGATTATATATAAGACCTTGTTATTAAAAATTTGGCGATGTTACCTAGAACAATTTTATGTACTATAAATCAATCAATTATTTATTTTAACATTAGATAAACTTAAATTATGAAATAAAAGCAAAATTTAGATATTTTATCTGTTAAGTGTGTATTATGCATATACGCGTTTTCTATACCTGTAATTTTTATTTTATTACTTCTAATCTCATATTCTCTTTTTATTGACGTAACAAATAATAATAATAATAATGATGATGCAGATAATGATACTGTTAGTTGTTTCATCATTGTCAACAGCATCAACATTATCAACATTCCCAAAAGAAAAGAAAAAAAAACGTGTTCACTATCGAATATTCTTTGAAAAAAATCAACAAAATTTTATGTATGAAAACCTACAGAAGAAAAATAGAGGTAGTCTAATTAAAAGTCCGAAAACGGACACAATTATCAATGTAAGTGAAGAGATAGAAAATGGGCTAAATCAAGATAAAAATTTAACATACAGTACAGGTGACATTTTATCAACACATAAAGGAAAAGTCATCATTCAAGGTAACTACATTAACAGTATTTATAAGACAAACAAAATAAGATAGTTGTATAATTCAATGTTGTATACTTAATTTTATATTCTAGACGAACAATTCATTAAAAATAAAAATCAGTTATCAAATGAACATATAATTGAGACTATAGATGATAGTGAACGTTATTATTTATCCCGTTCACTTCGTCAACGTATATCAAAAGCATTATTATCATGGCAAGAATTTATTCACGTTCAATCATCATGGTCATGGGTCATATTGATAGCTGGTTTTCTTACATATTCCATAGGCGAAGCTTTGACATGTGTTTTCCCATTATTATTTGTTGCACTTCAAGAAGAATTTAAAAATGAAGGTTCATCACGTTTAGCATGGGTACAATCGATGATGAATTCTGTACCATGTCTTGTTGGACCTATTGCATCGACATTAACAACACATTTAGGCTATAGAAAAACTACAATGTTAGGAGGTAATATAGTAAAATAATGAATAATTTATATGTCTTCTATTTATGGTATCTACTATTTAGGATTTATTGCGTCAATGTCATTATTAGCTAGTTCATTTGCTCGAAAATTAGAAATACTATATGTGACAATAGGTTTTTGTTATTCGTTTGGTAATTCACTTGTGTTAGTGACCACTGTAGTAGCTGTTACCGAACATTTTGAACATAAACCATCATTTGCATCCGGTGTGACGATTAGTGGTAAGCTCAACTGTAGGATCGCATATATGGGATGAATAGAAAATGTACATGACCATTCCTTGAAATGTTATTTCACTTTATCTCTTAATTACAGTGTCAAAAGGAAGAAGCATATTTAACCCTTTTATATCCCTGTATATTTTTAAATATGATATGATTCAGCTTTTGTTCACAATTATGCTAATTTCATTTAAATACATGGTGTTTCATACACTCTCTCGGAAGAAAAGTTTGAACTTTTTTTGCAGAAATAATATTTAGAAATATTCTTCTAATCATGAGTTAAACTCATTACAACAAGCTCATATTTTCCTCTAAACTGATTCGACTGCCGTAAATAAGAACTATTGTCGAGTATGGCATTATTATTATTTGTGCTATTTTTTTCGTATCAGTCGTAGAAATAAAATCGTGACTATCACTCGAAGTACAAAGCGGTAAAGGATCGGATGACAAAAACTATTCCTTTGATAAAGGACCACACGGTTAAATAGCTAAACGGTTCTTATCCTCTATTTATTAAACGTTCTTAAGATCTATCTTTTTCTTACTCTCTAAGCTTCTTTTCTTTCTTGTTCTCTATCGTAAAATCTCAAAATAGTATTTCAAAATTATAGTAAACGGAATTTAGTTGAATGTGAGAACGTGCTGTGACGATATGATGGAAGAAATTTTTTTACACATCATTTAACTTTGTGTCAAAAATTCAGTTTTATAAACTCTGATTTTGGTTGCTATGCTCATCTTCACTGAAATTCTGGGTATGGCCTTACTTCACTACCTTTTCTTCTTATCGTTAGGTGGTGCTTTTGGTCAATGTGTATTTGCTATTGTTTTACAAAAATTGATAAATCATTATAAATGGTATGGTGCTCTAATGTTATTCTCTGGTATTGTTTTCCTTACTGTGGCGTTAGGAGCACTATTCAGAGAAGTTGAATATGACGAAGATGAGGAAGATGAGGTACGTAGACAAAAAGAAAAACCCACACAGTTCAAATCGTTAACCAGAACAGATTATTTCACACATAGGAAGAAGAAGTCGATGGAGAAAACACCAAGAAGCAAGGTGAAGATAATCTGAGCGAGCATGATGAAACGCCAATGGAAACATTGAAAAGTATTAAAAGTACAAAAGATAAAAAAGTCGAGGATACTAATGAAGCCACGATACGATTTAATCAGACGAGTAATCATACTATAGATGTGTTATTCTCCAATAAATCGACAAAAAGCCATTTACATAAGCAGTATTCAAAATCAGAATTATGTGTACCAACAGCTTTTAGACAAAATTTTGAAGATGAATATTTGCATAAGAAAACAATGTCTGATGAGTATCAATTAAACCATGAAAATCCAGTAGTATCAACAAATCCGATTGATCAACAAGTACAACAAAATATACCGATGAAACATGCTGATAGTTATAAGTAAGTATTGTGTGACTTCTAGTCTTCATACGTCAAGAAACAGTGCCTGTTCTTCTTACTAGTTTAATAATATTTGTCCTCATTCATTTACAGAGAAATTGTTCATCCAAAAGGACTTGTAGAACGATTATCTCCATCATCATTGATTACATCAACGAATTCAAAGTCAAATAATCCAACAACGAGAAAATATTCAAATGTGACTCCTTCAACGAAACTCATTCGACGTACCCAGCGTTCAGCTAGTGCTAATAATTATTCCCGTATGGCTACTGCCCATCATTATCCATTTTATCGTCAGCATCATTATTCACAACATCAACGACGTCGAAATTCATTATCGTTTTGTCATCATCCAACACATCATCATTCGCATCATACATCCGTTTTACAATGTAATTATGGCGCTAAGATATCACAACTACGTTTATGTTCAAAAAACATTTACAATTATGAAAGTCTATTGAATATTTGTAAACTACAAAACTTATATTCTCGTATCGATCGTAGTCTATCATGTCCAAATTTAGTTCCATCTAAACAACTCATCTCATTTCCACCAATTATCGATAAAGATAAAGAAGAAAAAACATCAGAAAATCCATTGAAATTTATATACCGTGAACTATGTCAATTGGCTAAAGTATTGAAAATATTACCATTTTTATTATTATGTTTTAGTGTAACTATTATCACAATATTTTATGAAGCAACCTGGACATTTCTTGTTGATTATATGAATAAAAATAATCTATCAGATAATACCGGCTCACATATAATTCTAGCCGTTGGTATCATCTTAATATTTGGTGAAATTGGCTTTGGTTATATGGGTGATAGTAAAAGAATACATCCTCTATATCTGTACGCTTGTTCATTGACGATCAGCGGTCTATGTCAGTCTCTAATACCATTTGCCATCAAATCATCATCAAAGTTGTTACCATTAATGTTATTTATTGGTTTTTTACAATCCGCACAAGAAGTTTTAATGCCGATATTGTGTATTAAATTTGCTGGAGTAACAAATTTTCCCAGGGCATATGGAATGTTATTATTCGGTCAAGGGTTTAGTAATCTTATTGGACCACCGTTATTAGGTACGTATAGATGTTTGTGATAAAATTAGAAAAATGAGTGATATGTATGATATGCTCATATAACGAGTATTAGAAACATATCAATTAGAACTGATCTTATTATTTCAGGTGCTATTGCTGATCGTATGGGTTCATATGATTTAACCTACTACACAATATCCATCGGAACGGTTGTTGCTTCATCATTTTTATTTACTATGCCATTAGTTCAAAAATATTATAAATGTATGTGTATGAAAAAGAAGACAAATTCCAGCATAACCAGTGGTGAAAGCGGAGAGTCAGTTTGTGGTGCATCATCATTAAATGAAAATGGTATAACACAAGCAACTTCATCTTCATTTATTAATAACAACAGTATTAATAATACTAATACTACTAATAATAATTAAATAAAACGTACATTTTCTATAGGATAGATATTTGTCAGATAGAAAAAAAGAAATGAACAGTATATGTAACAATATTGATATTTTCTTTTGTTTTTATGTGATGATTAAACACTATACCAAGGATACAATTATCTTATTACCATTTTTTTATTCTTGTGTATGTCACACGCCTGATGATTCTAAACATTTATTTTTGTGCTTTGTTGTTGTTTTTTTGAGTGTAAGAGAACTTGAAACTAGTACTATTTTTTGTCGTAAAAGCTTTGTCCTTGAAATAAATATGTTTGTTTTAAATGAGTGACAATATTGTCAAAAAGTACAATTTTTCTTGCAAATTATTTCCACAGTACTTTTCGATAGAAAATAAGTCTACTTATCAGGTATGCTTCAACGGTAGCGTTAAACAATCGACAATTTTTATAAATAAAGATGATCAAAATAGACAAATGCAAAATATTGTTTGTCTTTCTAGGAAGCTTAGGGATGTTCTTTAATGTGAAACTTGCTTTGCCGAATGCGCATATATTCAAAGATGTTTGTATAGATAGATTAGAAGAATGAGTATAACCAATACTATCTAAGAATTCTATCACGTCCTACTTCTATAATTGTCTGTTGATTACGTCAAGTTTTATAGTCTTGACGAGAAAAACGGATGTTTTTTTGTCATGCAGAAAAGTACCAACTATATTATTATAAACTCAAGAGTACTTTTTAATTTCCTTTCTGCATTCTATTCTATCATCATTTATCTTAACCTGTGTTCTGTTTTTTTTCTTCTTAAAGATATGATTTGAATTGTTAAATAGAAAATTATGCATTTGCAATTGTTTTATCATTATCGATTATAAAATACATAAATGGCAACGAAACGAGATATTACTTCCATCTAATCTATACAGCTACTCACATACTCCAGATACAAAGTAAGTAATACTCATCAGCATATTTTCTTTTCTTTTAGTCCACATAGACAAGAATAGAAAAGAATGACAATATTTCTTTTCCTTAGTTTTTCAAAGGGCCTATGTTAAGATCAAATAGAGGCAATTCGATAAAAACTTTTTAGTTGTATTAAATTCATTATTCTAGTATCAGCTATGATAATATAAAATAATAGCAACAGTAACAGGATTTATACGATTTATAAATGTAATAGATCATTTTTAGCCTAAACAGAGCCAGTTTTACACACATAAAGTAGAGCTATTCGTTAAAAAGATAAAAATTAATGCCTGTTAGAAATAGCAACGTTAGTGCACATATTTTAAATAACTTTTGATTGAAGATAACTGGAGAGCTGCAGTCTTCGCTATTCTCTAGTTTGAATTGTAAAGAAAAGGAGTCATTAATGTCTTGCTTCTGGGATTTTCCTTTACAGAAATTTCAATCTACAATTTCGGCTGTTTTGGGCATTTTACATTTTAAAATGCAGAAGAATTGATTTTGCATTTCTAAGGTTGCATCTGCTTTCTGTTTTGCTTTTGCAAATGTAAATATCTAAATACTCCAAAGTTCTGCATCTTCACATTTACAGTTTCAAAATTTTTGCACTCGTTAGATATTTACATTTGGCAGATTCCAGAAAGTGAGATAAGAATCAGCCCAGGTCCATGAAAACGGTGTCGTTAATGGATCATAAACGTCAAGTGAACCAACCGTTTCTACGTCGTTTAACTCGGGCGGTTTTACGATCAAAAAACGGTTGACGGTCTTTTTTTACAGGTTATTTTTTCATCGTTAATGCAATGTTTTATGCATGTTGCACTTAAACGTTTTCATTTTTTATTAGAGATCTCGAAAATATTATTTGAGGCACATTTTGGTCCTTAGTGCCATTTCTAGTACCAATCTAGGATCACAATACTATCTTTAGTTTTAAACCCAAATGGTTACTTCTTCTAATCAAGTTTCATTGACTTGTATATACGAGAAAAGGAAAAATTCTTAAGTTATTCGAAGAAAGTCAGAGTTGCATATATACTAGTAGCTATAGCAAAATAAAAGAGATAAATGATAAATGATTTGTCGATAAAACGGTCCGTATACAGCATAGGCTTTGCCTGGTCACACCAATGAATGATCCATTTTTAGACCATTAATTGTACAATCAGCCCAAAACCCAGTCTGATCAAGAATATCACCTTTTTAGCCTTCCCAGTGCACGTTTTTACGGAGAAAAATTCGAAACACTCTGAGAGTCTCAAAATTGGGAAAAACGTTCATGTTCGAAAAAGGTCTTTGTATTTTGAACCTTCTAAACATTTGTTTTTCGGATTCAGTACTGAAAACTGTGTTTTCGAAGGTTTCCATATGTAATGTCATTGTAGGAAAAATTCTTTTACAAGCATAGCTCCAAAGCGAAGGCCTCGCCGCAAAAAGCTATTTGGCTTTTTGTGTTAAGAGATGGAGCTCTAATTTCTTGAGCCATTCGATCGACCTTGATTTATACTACAAAAAAATGCATCGCTGTTTTCTAAAATTTGTGTCATTCCTGAGAAAGCACACTTTTTCTGAATCAGGAGCGAAAAAATCGGAATTCTGCCCGTAACTCTCTATTTTCTCCGCCAGAACTCACTTTTATACAATAAAAATATCATATTTGGAGTAAGCATCGAAAACCCAGTCGAATGATATATGTTTTCAAAATTTTCATTGATTTTCAGTTTTTAGTGAAAATTTCAGTAATTTTTCAACGTGAAAATTCGAAAGCAACAAAGATGGTTGGATAGGATAAAAATGTATATTTGGAAACCCTCAGAGTGTTTCGAATTTTCCGCCGTGAAAACGTGCACTGGGAAGGCTAAAAAAGTGATATTTTTTATCAGAGTGGAATTTCCTATCGAATGGTGTATAAGAAAACCAAAAATAAAATAGTGCTCAAACTTTGAATTAGCGGCCCCTTATCCATTCTGTTTTCTATCTGGCATATATATCGAGCAAAAATCCCGATTTCGATCGTTTCGCCAATCCCCATCTCGATTCCATCCCGTACGCTTCATCCAGATCCCGATTCCATAAATCTTTTTCCTCCAGTTTCGATCCCCGAGATCGGAATAATCGCGCAGGGCTCTACCTGGGAAGACGTTTCGATGAATAGAAAAGCAATGAACCTCCATCACGGTGTTCTCTCATGGTTACTCATGCTCTCCATATCGCATAACCTCTACCATATTAATTCTAAAATTTATTAGGAAGCTAAAATAAAACCTGCAAGTAGATTCTTCTAATTTTTTCTTTTCTTACGGATGAACAGACAAGCAGACGTATTATTTATACGATCCGCCTTCCAGCTCAGGGAATATGAGCAATTTCAAACCATTGGAAAGTAGTTTGGTATTTTATCCGACACAGAGTCTGTACTCATATTCATACATGTGTATGTATATGAATGCCTGGGATTCTGAAGTTGTGTAGGAAGCGAGGAGCTAGCGGTATGAGAGTGAGATACCAAATAATATTTCAGGGTTTTCCACAATCCTAAGCACTCTTGTACATGCACGTATTATGAATATAATAGGAATGTAGTCTTCATCTTCCTTACACATATTGAAATGTCGCGGATATATAGCCAGTTCGTATTATGACGGCACTCTGAATTACGTAAAACATCTCTTAATATGATCCGGTGCCCTAAATTCCAGCATTTTGTCAACTGAACCTGAACGTGTGTTTGCTTATCCATAATTGTTCGCTTGACTGAAATCATGAGTCTTGAGAAAAAAATGTTTGTCGATTGTCAGCAAGACAAAACCCACATATTACTACTATAGGAAAAGACACAGCCATAAACCCTTCACTGTAGAGGTAATCGACTATGAAGAACCCATCAAGATCGACTTCGAGACAGAAAGTTCTTCACGCCTTCGATGCTCTGTATAGTTCCTTCAAAACTTAGTGTAGTCTGTCTACTGAGGCAGGCAGCGTGAGATGAAAGTGGACATGGTTCTCAGCGTCTCGATATCTCTCATCCCATTACTCGACAGTTTGTGATTGACTTCGAGACGAACGAAGCGTGTCGAGGTGCCTGGCGTAACCTTCATAGTTCAGTTTTACTAGAAAGTTCGTGTTTATACGTTCATTCAAACATGTGAACCCAAAGATCGATCGTAAGGATGCCTTGGTTTTTCTTTTCATCATTGTCCAGTTCGTCAGAACCAAGTTCTTCCGGTTGAGAATGGAGTGATTCGATGAACGTTAGCTAACAGAAGAATGAAACATTTTTCCGTGCCGCCTATAGCACGGAGTAAAAAGAAATTGAGAATGTGCAATGTGAAAGAAATTTATTAATGCTTATTTGCTAGGATTCTATTCCATCTGTTCACGATAGTCAAGCTAAACCACATCTTGTAGACAAGCTGTCACTTGAAACAACATTAATGGATAGAGCTCTTGACGGCACAGTAGAGCTGAGAAAATTCTGAAGCTATAATATACTTTACTAAATTTAACTAGGTATATTTCTAAATATTTAGAGGAGGTTACTGTTTTCCCGTGAAGAAAAAAATGCAATCTGCAAAAATGAAAATGCGAGAAGTGCACTATAGTGATGACGCCGCTTTATTTGAACCTTCAAATATAGTTGATACAAAAGAGATAGCTCGAACTATCTTCTATATAATTAAACACTTGGCCTCTCTGTTTACAATCGTTTCTAGATGTCGTGAGATTCCCTGGAAATTTCAGAATTTAATCAATGGATGTGTGTAGAAAATCTCAAAAACAAACGAAAATAGATTATTAGTCTTTTTGAATCTCATGGTAATGCTTGTTTTCCGATATAAGTGAGAAAACTTATCAAATATGAGTTTTGAGAAAAATATCCTAACAATCATAGTTTCTACTCTGCTGAAAAAAACTTTTCATTTTTTCTTAAAACAGAAAATTTGTGAACAAGGTATTTTATCTTTTCAACTATGTCACCATACATATCAAGTATAACAGATGTTTTTCTGAATAAAGATTTTTTTAGTTGGTTTCGACTTTGTTTAAAGGTTCCAATAAACCATTCTGTCAGTGGTTTCCACTAAACGCAACATTTTTCACTTGCTGAGGTTAGTCAGTGTTGAGATATTAAAAGACCAAGTAACGAGGAACATCTTTAGAGTAAAATTTCATTTCATCATGATTAGGCTCGTTTCATTTACGCGACAAAATTCTCATATCTAACAGAGCCCGAAATGAATCGAATTATTCGGCATTTGATTCGTTTCGGCTTTTTTCCGAATCGAATCGAACCGAATTTTATATCAAAAATGTTGAATCGAATTGAACCAATTCAGGATTCAAAACAGCTGTCCCGAATCTGATCAAATCATCAGACAAACTTGATTCGTTTCAAGCTCTGGTGTTCTAACTCATTTTTTCTCAAAACCAGCTGTTAATACGGATAAGTATTAAATAAGTTATACACCAGCCTTGACCTTGTTTCCATTTTATGAACTTTGAATTCTCTCAAGCATTCTTCTCTTTGCAGTTGTTTTCGATGCGTAAACCAGGTCATTTTACTACCATTCTTCCTATTACCACTATCTTCAATCAGCATGGATATTATGGACGACAACTGGTACAAATTTTCATTAATTATACTTGTGTCATCAGTGATATGTTGTGGACTCATACCAATATTTCTTCGACTCTGGTTAGCACGAAAACGCTATTATCGTTATTGTGCAGAACGTAGTCTAATTGAACAATGTATGCCATTTGCATTCAATATCCAGAAATCAATCTATAGTGATCTTACGCCCGAACTATGTACATCTATTTCATTCCAGCATGAAACACCGACAACACCAGTAAGCGAATCAAACCAGCTATATTCCACAATCTATAGTGAAATACCATTTATTGATTCCAAAGATGGTGTTGCTGATGTAACATAATCAAAATAATCATGTTCGATTAAATCTATATTTATTCATAGGTGTGAAATATTTGTTTGTTTTTTTGATATTCTCTATTCGATTGTTGTATATAAAATTTTTTGCTACTTGTGTTTATTGTATAGACTCGCTTTTTTTTGTCTGATGATACAATTTTCAATCAATAAATAAGACACTCTTTGGTCTTCCAGTAAATTAAATTAGCAACAACAACAATGTTTATCCTACGTACAAAATTACATTTTGTCTATTTTTAATTTACTGTTGTCATTCTGAAACTGATGTTATTTTATTTTTATTGTCACCCAAATTTGTCGTATATGCTGATCGTATTAATTTTCATTTATATAACTTGTCCTTTATATTTTAACATATATAAACATTCTGATCAGTCAACAATCAGTGCTATACGTTATCTAATCGATTTAACCAGATTATCCGTTAGCAGCAAAAACAATTATTATTAACGATCAATATAGTAAAAATATATAGATTGATAACTCAGTAAAGATGTTAACAACTTCTAACCAAAAGCATAATACTTCAACGTTAATGAGTCGGAGAGTGATATGCGCTTACATGAATAATACAGAAAATTCTGAAAGTTTATTTTGATTTAGATGAACCCACTTTGCATCAGATTATTCATTTATTCATCTTATATATACATATGTATTATGTTCAATGTCGTGTACTTGAGTATCAGGAGATACTTGCAGAATCTGTATCACTTCCTTCGATGCAATTGCTTGGTGAATGTTTTTCAAAGTTTTCTAGAGTTTCAGATTTGTGAAGCAAAGTCTTCTCGTGAAAATGAGACATAGTGTCAAGGGGGAACAGCAGAATTCCCAGCAGCTGTGAACTCCCAGACTTACAGAAGCCTCGAGAATCTTATACAAACTTTCCAAAGTTCGAGAAACTCGAGGAGTCCCTGGGAGTACAAGAAAAAATAGGAAAAAGGGTAAGAATCCGATGAAATCCCGAAAATCTGTAAAAATGACTAAAAATGGGGCTTCATGGGAAAAACGGGGGAAAACTCAAAAACAGTCAGGAAAATGCTTCGGGGCTCAGCGAAGTCACGAAGAATACTAAGGAGTACAACAAAATTTGAATAAAATTGATTGCCTCTGGAACGAAGTCCAGATTACAAGAGTCACAAAATCTGCTGTTTCCCCCTTGCCTGGTGCCCTCATATCGTCAGACTATGTAATATGATGCAACAGTATGCGAGTTCACAGTGTGAGAATGCTTGCATGAACCCTAAAAATGCACTGCTAAAACTGCACCCAGCGTATCCACTATGCGTGATTTTGACGTTAATGTACGTCAACTGTCGGTCAACGTATCCTAACATACTTCTTCTCGAATGAGCCAGGATATAAATCAATATATAGACATGGTCGATGTTTAAAACTGATTCCAGTGCAAAGAATACTGAAAGTCAATGAGAAAGAGCAAAATCTACTTTTTGCGTGGTCAGTGGGATCAGTGAGCAAAAAAGTCTTAATTCAAGTTTTGTTGAGGGCTGATTAGCTCATGATGTTTCCTCAAGAAATGTCGACTGAAGCCTTTGTTTCGACTACAATTCTCAACGAGTCACTAAACGGTCTATGGCAGATGAATAAGTCATAGACATTTCTACTGGCGTGATCGAGACAGTTTCAACTAATACATCACATCGGTTTCTAAATTAAATTTAAATCAGCATTTTGATACGAATAATAATATAAATTGGAAAAGTTCTAAAACTTTTCTAACAAGGTCGATTTATAATGTTTATTTGTTAAAGAATCTTTAATAGTATTAGCATATCAACCGTGCGTCCGGTACCACTTTTCACATTTCTTCATGGAATCTCACAATAAGGAGTTTAACCCTTCATTTCGCGAGCATTCGATCTTATTGGAATTTCCATTAAATAGTAGATATATTAGGGTTATCTTCTGGTACAAATTTTAACTTCATGTAACATTAGATTTGTTGACGGGAATAAATTTTAGCACAGTCAGTAAACTAACGACATCAGTTCAGAATTATATTATTTATTAATTTTGAACTGCTGTCATTAGTTTACTGACTGTGCTAAACTACTTGTCTTGTGTTTTTCCAGATTTATTCTAAAATACTAGTAAAAAAGTAAGTGTGTGAGATTCCAGGATTTCTCTATCATTACACAAGATGAAATTCTATTACTAGTTAGTTACTAAAGAAAATCATAACCATAATCAAAATCAAAAACTCCGCTCGTCTGATGTATAGAAAAAAGTTTTTCTTTCTATATTTCAAGACCAACCGGGGAGTCCTGGTTTTGCAAAATGGTGTAGGCTCTTTATCATCATCTGGAGATTTTTACATTTTTACCTTGCATACATCGTAGTGTGTATTTCTTTTGAGTTTTCATTTTTGTATTAATCTGATTCAGTCTTCATATCGTCGGTTACACATGATATATAAAAATGCTGTATGTAATTTAGTCTTACTATTCTAAACTATTTGTAGAGTTAATGAGATGACTAAAATATCTTCAGACTTTAATGTTATGGATGCGATAATATGATATATAAGGCGCCTTTATTATCGTTTCTTTCCAATTCTTATTTGTTTTTAGTGGAGGAACGAAATAAAAAGGTATAATTAGTATCCGCAATCATTAAAAACCAAAATACAATAGTAATGCAATGAAAGATCGGACGAACGCATTTAATAGCGATTTACAGAATAATATTGACGAAGAGAAAAAAACTGTCACTAATGAATCAACAGCAATATCTCATAGACAACAGAAAACATCAGTTGTTCGAGAAACATCAGCTAGCGCGCTCACAGCAAGCGCTACCACTACTACAACAATTGCTGTTAAAAATCTCACTGAAAAAAGGAAGAAGAATGTTGTGAATATGAAAAAGTGGTTACACAAAAGTCCAAAATCGACGAAAGAAGTTGTAAGAGTCATTCGGATGAAAAATGAGCAACAACAAGGATCATCAGAGAGTAAAAATGTAAAAAAATTAGTACAGACAGTAGCTAAAACTCCAAAAGAAAAACATCTGTCGTATGGAACTTTTTTCGGTGAAAATACATGGAAAGAATCTGATGAAAAATTGGCTTTATTCCAGCATCAGCAATTGATCAAGAAATCATCAAGAATTGAAAAATCATTACTAGTAGATCTAAAACATGTGGTTGTAACATCAATTGCCAAAAAGAAACCGTCAACATTAGAGAAAAAAGTTATTAATATGGCATCACGAAATCAGTCGATAAATCAAGAAAAAGCGATGGATAAAACTGGTTTTGAGAAAAGAGATATTTCATTGACAAGTTATCCATCATCCTATAGTACTGTTCAAAATAATGTTGCTCACAATTTATTTCGGCAAGTACTTGAACAAGAGAAAGTAGAGTGTTTCAAAAAACGACGCCAACTTGCCCAACGCCAGGCGTTGAAACAAGAAATGACAAAAAAAATGAGAAAACTAAAATCTCCGATAACAACATTAGCTAAGAAAAAACAAACGATAGATATCGATAAAATATTTGAACAAAAGTTGAAACGAATAAAAACGCTGACAGCAATTGAGATGGACTTAAAAAATTTATATGCGACATCTAGTATTCGAATTAAAAATGTGTTAAACCCAAAATGTATTGATGATTTTGTTTATGAAACAAGAAAACGTGTACAACTGTTAGGAGGAGATATTAAATTGATATAAGATGAATTTGAATTTATTTTTACTCTTAAAGATTTTGCAGAATAAGGAAACAATGAACAAGCAAGCGTTGCTTACATACAGATACAGTTACTAGCTAATGCTGGAAAGCTAATGCTAGAAAAGTTGTAGTAATATTTTGTTATATTTGTGAAAATGTAGCTGTCTGTGATAGAGTCTCTTCTCCTCAAGACTACAAAGTTCAAGAAAAACATTATTTATATTAAGATCATCTACGTTTTTATCTACACTGTTAAAAAACTGCGTGCTTCAGTTTTTCAGAGAACTGAAAAGTCAACGGGAATTTTGTTCTTCATTTGTAGCGAACTTAAATTCTGTTCTTCAGCTCTCAAGAACTCTAAATTTGTTCTTAAGTTTTTAAAAAAATGATTTTTTTCGTTCTTTGAAAGATTGAACAACAAATTTAGAGTTCTTGAGAGCTGAAGAACAGAATTTAAGTTCTCTTATTTGGGACAAATGAAGAACAAAATTCCCGTTGACTTTTCAGTTCTCTGAAAAACTGAAGAACACAGTTTTTTAACAGTGTAGAAGTATTATGTTAGAAAATATTATCTATTGACATTTGGTTTAATAAGATCCTTATGACAACATTCTGCCATTTCATTTATGCATGTTTGTGCTGTGATAATATTAAAATCGACTGCACAAAAACCATCATCGGCGAAAAGGGGTGATAATTTCGAAGTGTTTAGGGACGTCCGAAGACCGTTGATAAAGATAAGGAAAAGAAGAGGACTTTAAATACTTCTTTAGGATACTAATGATGAAACCGCTACCTTCTCCGAGAAAGCAGAGCCTACAAAACAGTTTGAGAAAGAATAGACAGATGAGAGGCAAACCGGTCGTATAAGCGGACGAAAGTGAATTTTTGGACCCAAAAGAGATTATTTTTGGATATAAGTCAATTAAGTGCTTATGTATTGTTCTTTCAAAGATCCTACTAATATCTGAAAATAGTGAGATCGGCCGATAATTTTTGATATTCGATTTCTCACCTTTTTAATGAATGGCTTTTATAATTGCGAGTTTCCAAATGTTAGAGAATACGCCTTTGTTAAGAGAAACACGGGACAAGCTGCGGTGACATTATGTCTGCATTATTTTTGTTAAGCAGTTAACTGGGATATTATTAACCCTACACTTGTTGTAGTGTTAAGCCATTTTTTGTTTTTGGAAATCACTAATTAGCGAGCTAAGGAGTGGACGTGTCTCTCGTTACACATAAGCATTAAATAGCAAAGTAAATAAAGTTTAACTAAAATATATCAAACTTTCGGTTGTAATTTGGTCAAACTTTTAACAGAAGTAAGTATTGGATCACTGGTTACAACATAAATGGAAATTGATCCCCCCGTGAGGGGTGGAAATGCCAGGAAAAGGCAACAAAACTGACGGAGAAGAAGACAATAGCAAAACGCGGGAAGGCAAATAAGAACAGTGGTACCGACGTTTGAACCCAAAAAAACAGCATCAAATTGCACCATTAATACTAACTGCTGATGAATTCACAAATGGGAACTGAACAAGTTTCTAGTAACACATTTCCCACAAGTGAAACTCAGCAATATCGAACTAAATAAGAATAAACCTTTCACGTTATTTCCACTTGATGTTGCCGGGTTTAATAAAATATTAAACAAATTTCCGGTAAATCAATGTGCAAATCCACAAAACGTTAACGTATTTCTACCAAAATCGATATAAAAAATCCAGCAAATTGATAAAGAAGTAATAATAAAACACGTAGATCTTGAAATTCCGGAGAACGAAATTGCCGCTGAACTAAAACATGTTGGTCTCTCGATCGTCAGCGTATATCGTTTTCAAAATTTCAAGAAATCAGGACCAGGAACAACAATCAAAGTTAACCTTTTCTGATATCAAAGATAAAGAAACACTCATCAAGGTCGGAATGCAAATCGGTAACATGTACTGGCCTGCAGAACATTGTCAACAGAAAATCAAGCCGATTCAATGCGCAAATGCCTAAAATTCGGTCATTTAAGTAAATACTGTAACAATCAGAATCAACCGATATGTGCTAAATGTGGAGAAGCTCAAGCAACTAATAATTGTAAGAAACTACAAACAGATAAATTAGTTTGTTACAATTGCAAGGGTGAACGTATGGCAACGTCGGACACATGTTCTAGATTCAAAGAAAATGTCGCTAAAATTCAATAAAATATTAATAAATACTCATTATTTCAGCAACAAAGTCAACGACCGGCTCCATCGTATTGGTCTAATGACTATAACCCATTCTCTCCATTAGGAGAAAATGAAAACCTGTTTGGTCGTCGAAATGAATTAGTAGACGAAATGGAAGGAGTTGTAGAGCGTTTGATGGAAAGGGTGGAATACAAGAAAAGCCTCAGCTCAAAAGCTACAAAAGAAAGAAAAAATTAATAATTAGCTTTTCTTCTAAATTCTATAACTTTGCAAAGAAAGGTCATGTAGAGCTCAGAGATGTGTTATTTTAATCAGAAATTTGCACTCTAAAATCATGTCTTGTTAAGAAAGGTTTTGGTTATTTTTTAGAGTTTCTGAAAAACTGGTTTTCCAGAAGGCTGGATCTTCGAAGATCTATGGGAAGCCTCCATGGTCATATTCGGCATCAGCATGCTCGATAACCTATAACCCCTATAATATTTTGGTTCAAGACCTTCATGTTTAACTAGAGGCAAGAAAGGGTTAAATAATGAGACTGTGCCATATATTTTTGAGAAGATAACGACTGGAACTGATCAGAAACCATTATTATTTAGTCATAGATAATGTTTGACTAATAACTCTATGAACACATTAGTTTGAAAACGTGTGCTACAGATCATTTTAAAGCCTGTGTAATTGCACATGTTTTCACATATAAGATTCTATTAAGAACACCAAACTCTCAGAGAAAAATTAATAAATACGATCGAATAAGCTTTTTGGATCGATGCTCAGAAATGTTTAAAACTTCCAGCATATGGTAGTCTACAATCAACTTTTAAAGCACAGACATATTAAAAACTAAATAACGAATGGTTTCTGAACAGTTCCAGTCGTTATTCTCCCAAAAATATATAGGGCCATTTTCTTGCAGAAACCGTCTCTCGTCCTTTATTATTGAAAGAAAATTGGAGAAAACAGATGTCATCATTTTAGAGGTGACTCCGTCCACTGTCGAAAAACAACTTTCAAGATGATTTGACAACTGCTCTGCTTTAGATATATCGTCCGTAGCAGTTTTATTAATAAGCTGCATTACTGCCGGAAAATTAGTGTGACTCGAACGAAATTTACTAATATCTATCCAAACACGTTTTCTGTTACGAAAACTTTTCACGATATATGTAAACAGCCTTGATTTATCCCTTCCAGACATTGTAACGCGTGGGCCTGAAATAATAACACACTTTTGTTCTCTTTTCCTTCGAGCACAACTGAAGTTCGAAGATTCCATTCTAAATTCATTCGAAAGAGAATTTTCTGCTCTACAAAATCCATTACCTTCTTTCTTCACATATTATTTCATTATTTTAAAAAATAGTACGGAGTAGGGACAGGTAAGAAGAATAACTGCGACGGAAGAAACAGGTTATAATTACTTTTGTACTTGACCTAATTGATTATTTAATAACGCTTCTGTTACTTATTCATCACAGATACATTGTGTACAGAATTCGTCTTCATTTAATTAATCCGCATTGAGAAATAGAATTTTTCCTAACATTTTGCCACTAAGAACGGATGATCCTGAAATGATGGAGTTATTCATGTATCTGTTTTTATCAATATGCCGTATGGTTCCAAGATTTCACTCTGATCTTAGAAAATAAAAAATTTTCTACTCTACAAAACCCTATAACGCACACTTTCACTGCGTTGTTTGGCTAGTCATTTTCCTGCTTTTTTCAAAATCCCACATTACTCGAAAGTACAGATTATTGTGCGCTGAAAACTTCACAATTTGGATGACCAAACAAATAAGCAGCGTAGTCTGGATGATAGGACTCAATCCGCTGAATATTTTTATACCACCTTCTTCTCTCAATTAACATATTATTTTTCGAAAAGTTACACAAAAACGAAAAGCCACCAAAATTTTGATAGGAAATAGCAGTTATATTTTTTACCTGTCCCTACTCCGCACTATTTTTTAAAATAATGAAATAATGTGTAACGAACGAAGTTAATGGATTTTATAGAGCAGAAAATTCTCCATCAAATGAGTTTAGAATGGGATCTTTGAACTTCGATTGTGCTCGGAAGAAAACAAAAGTGTGTCATTATTTCTCGCCCACTCGTTATTACTCTGTTTCTAAGTTTCCTATACGATGAAAATGAACTCTAAGGCTTTTATTCTAAGCAACTTTTTGTTTAAACTTTTTCTGCTTATCAATACACGCGTGGCTCTAGATAAACAAGGCTCTTGTTTGATTGTAATCGAAACTGTTTTTAAACGCATTGACTCTTCCATTGCACTTGTAATATGTTCTACTCAAAGATAGCTATATTAGGATCAGAGCAAAGATAGAAAGAAGGATCTATTTGGTTTAAACGACTGGCGAAAGAAGCAAAATCCGTATTTTTATAATCAAGTGCCTGCTTTGTTTTTCGTTTTGGTTGAATTGTATATGAAATGAAGAACAGATTAAGTGTGATTCAGAAGTCCTGAAGCCACTTTTCTATCGAATTGGGTTTAAAAATTTAATATTTAGCTCAAAAGATAGAGAATTTAGATCTCTAGGAAATTGTCGATTTTATTTTGAAATTAATTTTGAATCATCGCTGTAGAAATAAAAATACTAAAACGTTACGGTATGAAAATTGATCACCTATCTAATCGAAGTTCTTCTTAGCGTATCTGACTAAAAAAGATTTATTAATCAAAACACAATACACCATCCACACAATACGCCAGCAAAATGCTTCTAAGTCAAGGTGGCTCTTGAAAGAGTTTCTCATGAAAGTTTCAAAGGTGTTTAGGAGGATCT